ACTAGGCCTATGAATTTCATGTATCTACTCCAAACAGGATGTTACCAGTTTCTTTGTTGCATAACATCAGGAGGTGCTGCATTACTAACAGTGAGTGCTATACTTACTCATAGCACCCCTCCGACTGCCTGTTTTGTATTTCTGATCTTTTGTGGCCTTTGGTTGCTGTTTGTGTTTAATAACAAAAGGTAAGGTAAAACTAGGTCTGCTACTATTTCTACTCACAAATTATCTTTACTTAATTTTCAAACCTGATAAGTTTTATTGAATCATTTTAAAACTTTAAGAATAGAAGTTCTCTTTTGTGGTATGAATCTGCAATGTATCGATAAATTTCCATAACAGCCAGGTAATTCACATTTAACTAATATTTCCTAAGCACTTAAGGTATCAGGTATAAGAACGTTTAAATGAGCTACACATGAGTATCTGAGGAGTAAATGTTTAAATAACCAACAGCCACAGAGTTGCACAGGCAAAAATAAAAGGACTGAGAAGGGAGTGAGTGTGGTGTATTCCAGGAACAGATAGAAGACTATTGTGGTTTGAGCACAAGAGATGTTTGGAGGGGAAGAGGGAAGCCTGATAATGTAGGGCCAAAGTAAGGAGTTTGTACGATGTTCTAAATCAGTCAAGGAGCCTTTGGAAGCCTTTTAAACCTGGGCTGAAGCATAATCTGATATAAATACTAAAAATGATCACCCTAGATGCTTTCTGGGGATTATAGAGAAAGTAAGTGTTGGTCTACAATTGGATTTGGGAGATAGAGAGTATAGGGAGGTTAAAATGGCCCCAGTTATTTTGGCCTGAATAGGTAAGCAGTTACCATTAAGCAAGATTATTATAGAGGGAGAAAACAGGCTTAAAAATGTGGGGGGGGAATATAATGAATTCATATTTTAACACGTAGAGTTAGATGTATCTATTGAAACATGAAGTAGGAGGTAACTTAAGGCAATTAGACATACGTTTCTGAAGATTAGAGAAGGGTATTGGTTACAATATACCTAGTACATGGGTAAGAGTTGAAACCATAGACAGGTATAAAATCTTACAGAAAGTCTGTGTAAAGTCACAGGGGAGGAAAGCTGAGGTTTTCATATTGGGACATATCAATATTTATGTGATAGAGGGGTAGGAGTCAGAAAACGGAAAGAGACCATCATTGAGAAAGTAGGTCACAGATATGGATTGTTATTCCTTAGGGTAGATATAATAGCTGAAGCTAGGGTACTTGGAATAACCCAGCAAGTTAGGGCAAAGTAAGATGAGTAAGATGAGCAGACAGTGGCAGATGCTGTCAAGTGCTATGTAGCCAAATAGTGTACTGGAATCAGGAAGT